ATTTATTAATTCATTATCTCGATTTACTAGATTGTGCGCACGATTTATTAATTCATTATCTCGATTTGCTAGATTGTGCGCACGATTTAATAATTCGTTCCCTCGTTTTAAGTAAATCGTGCACACGATTTATTAATTTGTTACCTTGATTTATTAGATTGTGTGCACGATTTAATAATTAGTTCCCTCGTTTTAAGTAAATCGTGCGCACAATTTATGAATTCGTTCCCTCGATTTACTAGATCGTGCGCACTATTTAATAATTTGTTCGAATTACTAAATCGTGCCTACGATTTTTTTTTGTTTGTTTGATTTTCTTGCATGCCATGTGCGGGGCTCCGTACATTCTAGTACTTAAATTACTAAATTACACTTAAAGGGGTAGTCCACTGAAAAATGCAAATTCTGTCATAATTTACCTACCCTCATTACATTTTAAAAACTGTATGTCTTTTTTCTGTGAAACACAAAATAAATTTGACAAATAATAATACATTTGAAGAATATTGTTACCAGTTTTGGGTCCCACTGACTTCCATAGTCCATTTTTTGTCCATACTGTGGGGGAGTGAATGGAAACTGAAATTGTTTCCAACATTCTTAAAAATATAATCTTTTGTGTTCCACAAAGCATACAGCTATTCATGTTTGAAACAACATGAGGGTGAAAAAAAATGACACAATCTTCATTTTTGGGAGAACTATACCTGTAACTATAAAACCTTATATCTCCATAAATAAATAAACTGCACTGAGCAACAATACTTCTCTTACCCTGTATCCTGTCTAAATATCGTTAGTAGGACATAAATTGTACCTTAATCTCTATGGCACATTTTCGATCAAGTCAAATGAAGTCACCTTTATGTCTATAGCGCTTTATACAGTACAGATTGTTTCAAAGATATTAAATAATAATAATAATTTACCCTGTATCCTCCATTATGGCCAAAGTAATTCTAGAAAACACTCTGTTCTGTGTGTGAGATCCAGTCATTGCCTCATTCTGTTGAAATAAAACATGCTGAATTAAAAAAAATTTTTAAACTGTATTTTGACCATACCGACACTGAAATAGTTAAGTGCAAACGGACTGTCCCTAAGTGCAAGTAGCCCAATTTGTTGGCAGAGGCAACTGTTTAAGACAGCTGTTTATCTGCAGAATCAGTGGCATAGCGAGTAAAATGCGAAGTAATTGACGCGACTGACCCGTGTTCTAATCCGCCTTTTGCCAAACTCGTTCTTCCCCTTTTCCCATCACATATCAGAATTGAAAGGCATTTATTTTCAATAAAAATAAAGGAAATATTTGAAAAGTGGAAATAAAACACCTCATTAATAATAGAGTGTTATTGGGTATGGTTAGCGATAGGTGTAGGGAGGGCTTTATTGTCCCAATAAGGCGGCATCCATTTAATAATATTAATAAATATGATAATTTACGCTCAATATGTTATTACATATTGTTTTATAATGTACTACAGTATTGAAGTATAAATATCTGCCACCTAACTACTATTTACACAGACTATTGCTAAAGAAAATACTGCTATTTTAGTGTAAACAAAATGTATCATTATTTGCACTTAGTGTAACTAGAATATATCACTTTTTCTACTTTGTGTACCTGCCAAAAAGAAAACAATATTCCAGGAATTGAATTTGACACCCCTGTTTTAAAATGAAAGAAATACTTACAACTACACGCGGGGTGGCCAGAAGATGGACCGTGTGTCTAACCATGTGGCCACCACGGATGTCCCACAGCCGAGTTGCTCTTTTAATGACTTTATCACTCCATTGATATAACCCTAAACTGAGAGAGATATATAAAAAGAAATAAACACAGTACTATATATATATAATAGTTTAACAATAAAAGGTCCATTATATACATATATCATGCATTTTTTAAACCTACAATAATAACAATTTTAACCTGTAATAATCATGCAATATAAATATATCACAGTGTTATAATAATAAAAAAAATCACTATTATGAAATATTTTGAAATTATATTTCAAACAAATAAAAATACAAATATAACCATCACCTTTCATTGTATGCAGGTAGACCACTTGCAGAACGTGGCGTCAAAGGTTTCCCATCATCATCATGGTAAAAGGCAAAGAGTCCTGCAGAAAAACCCTTAAAACATATAGAACATATAATTGAACAATAATGAAAACTATAAAGCTCTACTCATGCGGATGTGCAGAGTTTAATGTTGTTACCAGGGCATGTATGATCTCGTGTTTGACTGTGGACAGCATCCCTTCAAACTCCTGATGTTGAGTGGAGATCATATTGGGACACAGATTGGCATATCCAGCGATGGGTCTACATTAAGAAATTCTGCCGTTACTGTCAGCAACACACTGGACTATTTTCCACAGTATATTGTAAAGCAAATCAAAATCACCATACATTCCCATCTCATTAATTATTGCCATTACCTGTCCAGTTTAGACTCCAGCTGGCAGTACGCTGCATAGGCTACGATGTTCTCTTGTCCACAACGCTCTGTGGTCATCGCACTCACGTACAACACAAAACCAGCCCTCACCACCCCCTCACCATCAGGAGAGCCAGCGGGGCCGCAGGACTTGCCAGACTCACTGCAAACCCTGCATTGCTAAAGGAGACCTCATTCTAAGATTCAAAAATTCTCATATTTACCTGCAATGTATTCATATTTATCAATATTAGATTTTTTTTTCCATTTAAACAAATCCACTTAAAATAGATCTTTAAGTAGGCATGATGCTTCTGTATGTTTACATAGATAATTTTTTTGTTAAATTTCAAACACAGAATTGAATATATAAACATAACCATCAATAGAGCTACTCTAACTGCACCAATTACGTCAAAGTAGAGCTGCACAATTAATCGAATTTCTAATCGCGATTACAATTACGGATGCCACAATTACATAATCGTTCAAAGCAGCAATTAATCGTTCAAAGTCCACTTATGTTATTCGGCATACTTAAGATGCTTTTTTTCTTTCTACATGTTATCTTAAGGGCTTTTCCATTGTTTTAATTTTAGTTTTAGTATAACATTATAATACCATGCATATTTTTACCTTTTTATTTAAAGAAGAAACCAATCCAATGTATAGTTGACATTTGAGGCTTAATACTATAGAAAAGCAATAAAAGTTTTTTTCAGTTAGTTTTTTCAACTTGTTTATTTTCATATAAAAATATGGCATGCAGTTGCTTCAAACAAAGGTGTAAACATCATTCATTTAATCGTAATTAATAATCGCAATTACAATTTCAAAGGAATAATCGACACTTATGATTTTTGTCATAATCGTGCAGCCCTACCATACGTGAAAAAAAGCTGTTAATAATAAGACAAGCAGGTTAGTAGGAATATATATATATTTATTATTCAGAATGCACACTGGGAAAAATAAATATATTTTTAGGAACACTTCAACAGGTTCAGTATAATGATTGATTGAATGATTGTTTTAAAGAACTGACAGCCCTAAAACGTAGTATTAATCAACCATCTGTATGTGCTGAACGATATGACCAGAAACGCCGGAGCCGTATTAAGTAGAACACGCAAGTAGTCCATTAATTCGTTTGAGGGCATTGATCGGGTTTCCACCTCATAATGTGTAGGAAAGCTCCTAAAATACTGTTTTACTCTCTGCAGTTTTACCTAAAATGTAAAAGAATGCAGTGAGTCCTCTTCGTCCTAAGATGTGGGTCATCTCTTTTCCTAAGGTACTGATTGGTTGCACATTGTCTAATCATTAAGAAAAAATTTAATTGGGATTTTAAAAAAAAGACACTAATGAGATTGAATATCCACCAAGCTTCCAGAAGGACAGTGCAATTTTAAGAAGATTTGCTATCAGACAATACCAGTTCAGAAGAGAATTACCTGCTCAGTAATATTGGACCTGACTGCCTGCGAACCCTGAAGGCCTTCTGAAGATAATCAATAGCCTGTGGGAGGAGCTTGTCCTTGAAACAAAGCAGAAAAAGATCAATAATGTAAGCATGCATCCTATTTAGAGGTGAAAGGCTATTTTTAAGATTTAACAAATGACATTTAGCTTTACATATTGATAAAACCTTGACTACAGAAGTCAAAATTTACCTTCACAAGGCTGCTTTTGGCTTCATCTAACCTGTGTGAGCAATAAAGATATTGTGAAGTCAATGTATGACAATGACAATGTGGCATTACTGTATTAAATAAATTATAAACATAGCTAACCCATCCAAGCTGGAGTCGTACTCTATTTGGATCTTTAACTGCTGGTCAGTGCTTCTTTTGGTCAATCTATCTGGCTTCAGAAACACTTTATGTATGACCTAGAATGACAAAGAGCAGAGATTATTATAAGTACTGCTAAAATAATATTCTAAAATAGTATTTATAGATTATTTGAGCACTTAAGGACGACTTTCATTGAATAGAAAAAAAAAAGCTTGGACTGCTGTATAATTTATGTACTACAGAAGAATGTTATACAGATTTGAAGGCGTGTAAATTTAATTCAGTGGTGTTTATCTTGAATAACAGTCCTTTTTGTTAAAATTCAATATTGTCTGAAATGTCTTAACATTTGGTATAGTTTAAATGAGTCATAAAAGATGTGAAGAGATGTCACTGTTAATATACATAATGTAGGATATACGATGAAAATAAAAGCCTGCAATCTTTGAAGCAATAATAATAATAATAATAATTTGTACATACCTTTCACATAGAGCATTCTAAACTACTGAGCAGTGTGCAGTTTCCCCAACAATATTAAACTGAACTGATTTCAATCAGTGCAAACCAGAGGGGGGGATTATAAAACATAAATCATACACAGAGTAAGAAGAATATAAAGCCAAAATATAAAACGATTTATTGTAAGAGTACAGAAAATCACATTTAATTACAGAATCATCTACAGAATACAAAGCCTTGGTCCCATGGTTAAATGAACACAAAATGAATCAACTATTCTGTAGATAATATTCTAAAGACTTTGATAAATCAGTCCTACTTTCTAAAGAGCAGCAAACAGGTTTGTTTCACATAAGAATAGTCTTTGATCAGATATTGCTTATTTGAGGCACAAATACACAGAGTACACAGTATCTGACTCAGAGCTGGAGTTTCCCAGCCAGAGGGCTGCAGGGGTAGAGCCGTGAGAAACGGCCCAGTGTCCACACAGGAAACACATTCCTGTAAGAGGTGTAGCTGATGGCGCAGCTTTTATTGAACACTCCAGAAATGTTCTCCTGAAAACAGGCAAACAACCCAGCACATGTTATTAGACCGATAGAGAGACCCCAGATTAATTTTGGAGATCTGGCAACAGCTTTGCTCACCTGTGGCCGGTCTCCATTGGGCAGCTGCTTATCAATCAGAACTTGAATGCCTCGCTCGATCACTCTGATGTCAGGGTACCTAAAAATTTGACATTTTTAAAATAAATTTACTTTCCAGTTTTGGAAAAGCAGCCCCAATTGTTTCCATGAATTTGCCAAAAATCAACACTTTGAAAAACACTAAATGTTCTCCTGCCTGTCTGGTGCTAATGTTACCTGACAGCCATCAACCCCAGCAAAGCCCAGCAGGTGTTGTGGATCTGTGAGTTCTTGCTCTGAACGTAGCGCCGTTGCTCACATGACTCAAAGTCCTCGCCCCAGCCTCCACACACCGTGACCGTGACAATTACAGGCAAACAACCCAGCACATGTTATTAGACCGATAGAGAGACCCCAGATTAATTTTGGAGATCTGGCAACAGCTTTGCTCACCTGTGGCCAGTCTCCATTGGGCAGCTGCTTATCAATCAGAACTTGAATGCCTCGCTCGATCACTCTGATCTCAGGGTACCTAAAAATTTGACATTTTTAAAATAAATTTACTTTCCAGTTTTGGAAAAGCAGCCCCAATTGTTTCCATGAATTTGCCAAAAATCAACACTTTGAAAAACACTAAATGTTCTCCTGAAACTCTGGTGCTAATGTTACCTGACAGCCATCAACCCCAGCAAAGCCCAGCAGGTGTTGTGGATCTGTGAGTTCTTGCTCTGAACGTAGCGCCGTTGCTCACATGACTCAAAGTCCTCACCCCAGCCTCCATCCTCCATCTGCTTCGACAGCATGAACTCACAGGCGCGTTTCACCTCCACACAAACAGACCTGCAACGTAGAAAAGAAATGAATGAGGGGGTTAAATAAAGTGCAAAGTGCAGTAAAAGAACACTGGTGATTTTTTAAATGAACATCAACATGAGAAAACAAACAAATAACATACCCGCTTTGGAAAGTGTGGCCCATACATGCAAATGCCTCCAAACCAAACCAGACTCCATATGTGAAACAGACTCCCCAGGACCTAAGACAAGCCGAATACTTCATAAACAGACTAAGAAGCAACAGAATAATGTTTCTGATTATAAAAGGACAAACGCCTACCCTTCCCACGAGCCATCAGGTCTTTGAACCCTCCTGCAGTAGTTCAGCCCCTGCTGAAGAGTTGTCCTATGTGATCAAGAGATGTGGTTTAGCCAAACCATCTTTCAAACCACAATATGCTGAAAAATTGTGCTTGGCTGTACCTAATCTCTTCAGCTCTGTGCTCAGGATATACGCTGTGAAAGTGTTTCAGTGCCTGCATTACAGCTGAGGTACACTCAACATACGTGTAGTCAATCATTATATCACCTGGGAGAGAAAGAGGTGGAATCAGACATGTCAAGACCGATGGAAAATGCACTGACAACTGAACATGACATATTACTGCATGCGCACCAAACACTTCAGATGGGTTCAGCAGCTCTAGCAGTTTTCCACCACGTTTGGTCTCATACGTGGCAAACCCTCCATCAGGATTTCTCATGCTTAGCAGCTGAAACAAAATCACAGAGATGAAAAAAAAATTACTCTACACTTTGAAAGTTTGGGGTCAGTAAAATTAATACTTTTATTCAGCAAGGACACATTAAATTGATCCAAAGTGACATTTATAATAAAGAAGATTTCTATTTCAAATAAATGCAGTTTTTATATATTACAATTTTCTATTAATCAAAGAATCATAAAAAAAAATGTATCATGTTTTTCTACAAAAAATATTAAGTATTAACGGTTTTCAACATTGATAATGATAAGAAATGTTTCTTGAGCACCAAATCAGCATATTAGAATGATTTCTGAATGAAATTCTGAAGAAATGATATTTTATGTTATATTTTAAAACATATTAACATAGAAAACAGCGATTTAAAATTGTAATTATATTTCACAATATTTTTGCTTTTACTGTATTTTTGATCAAATAAATATGGTTTTGGTGACCGTAAGAGAAGAGACATTTTTCAAAAACATTTTAAAAAAGTAAAAATCACACCACCTCCAAACTTTTGTACAATAGTGTATACGATTAGTGTGTTTGCTCTGACATGGCTTGTGAGTTTGGATGCATTACACTTTGTAATTTCAATGGATGAGCATTAGAGAAGTGACAATATATAATACAAGCCTAGTAATAAATACTGAATGTAATCAATTAACTTACATTTGAACTCATTTGTCTTAGTAAAAATGAACAAAAATAAAATTTTTGAGGGACTGCGGTTAAAGATGAGCACACTGTCTATGCTGTGAGTTGATGAGATTTGAGTCATAAAGAGGCTCGGTGTGGCATAGTGGCTTAAGCTCATTGTGCCCTTGAGCAAGACACTTAACCACAGGTTGCTCCAAGGGGATTGTTCCTATAATAAGTGTTCTGTAAATCAGATTATTGTGGCTCTGCACTGGTAAGACACAGACAGAATGTTAAACATGTCTGAAATGTAAATAAGGCTTTTACCACATTGACAGCATCATAGAGTCTTTCTGCAGGAACTTTTTCTTTGAGGAAAGCGCACTGCTCCTGCAGCAGCATCACAGATTTCAGCCCTTCCGCTGTACAGTCCGCAACTATCCAACCACAGTCCCGTGTGCTGAAGGGAAAACCTCCCTGAATCACATGAACACACATACTCATTAAAGTGTTGAAGAGCAGATTAAGAATGGTTAAGAAAGTTGAAAAGCAATACACAAATATTTACCTTGTTCATTTGTCTATAGTATTTCTTATATTCCGGAGGATTATCTTTGATCTATAAAAATAAAAAACTGATTAGACCTCACATAGAGACCAAATTATTACATTTCAGTGGGGGCCAAAGGTCTGAGAGTACAAGTGAAATGTCTCTGTTTTGCTTTTTATATTTAAAACATATACATATAATTAAAATTAAGAAAATTTTTCTTGTACTTCAGCGGAAGCAAGCAAAAACTGACCATTTGTACAAAGGAAATGTCACAAATTCGTACAAATTTGATTAGTGAGCTTGAATGATAAATTTATTTTACAACAAATCTTGTTTAATTTTGTTTTATTTAAAAAACAAACAAAAAAAAACTTAGATTATTTCCATAATTAAAAGAAAAAATTATTTCAATGTGGTCTCACTTTTGGACTCCACTGTATTTGGATTAGCACATAAGCAAATTTAACATTGTCAATACCAACATAGTTAAGTTAAAGCTAAATACATAAACAGGTTGTAATAATAAAGAACATTATGTTTTTAAAAAATGGATTTAATCATCCTCACCTGGGTCAGATCAAAGAAATGATGGGCTTGTGTTAGGCATTCTGTAAACCTGGGGATGTCCTGGGCTCCTGCCTGTTTAGAAAACAAACCCAACTGATCAGAGAAATCACCGGTTATGTGCCAAATTCGGCTTTATTAATAAAGATATGTACCTCAAGAAATGCTTGTACTGCAAATGCAGTGTCCCATAGCTGTGATCCGTTTGTACCCTGATATAAATAAATAATGATATGAGAGGTAATTGTTATTATTATTGCTAATAATAAAATTTAAATTGCTTAACTGATCAGAATAACAAACTCTAGAAGCCAAAAAGGTTAAATTCCTTATAATGACAATCTCTCACCTGCATTTTCAAACCATCCAGACCCAGCCTGGGGCATTAAAAAAAATAAAAATCACAAAAAGGAAGACAGAAGCCAATTATTATTATAAATATATAAAATATACAGGACATTATTAAAATCAGGCCACGAACCATAGATAGTCAGGAATCCTTGACACATGCTCCTGAAAGGCAGGTGATGTGGGTCCGTCCACATACCAGCGTACCAACATATTGATCGTTTTCGAAATCTGACAAAACAGGAAATTAGTTTCATACACAGAGCAATATTTATGAATGAATAATTACTGATGAATAATTTTGATATAACATGCACAGAGGAACTACACACAATAAAACCAGGGACGTGCATTCATAGAGTCAATATTGATTTCATGCTGACATTACACTACATAAAACAAAATTCTTCTTTTCTCTCACCGGGCCAATGCTGATACACTTAGTGAAGCGATCGTCTGCTTTAATATGGTCATAAAGCTCCTTCACCGCTTTTTCTCTCAGCATAGTGCTGTGATGAGCTTCATACACATTCAGGATCACTGTAAAACCAAGTTTGATAGTGTTATGTGACTTAATTGAAATCTAAAGGGTAAAAGATTGTTATTTACAAAGATGTTGCACTTCTCTCACAATAAGCAATAGTAAGCAAGGTGCTGTGTGGTGTGTACAAGTCACAGGCTGCAATGTTGTTCCTCTGAGCTTGCCAGTCAACAGTCGAGTACTCCTGGACATAGAGCTCCTGTTTAACACCCAAAAAAAC